ACACACACATACACACATGCACAATATTAATAGCTTTGGAAGACAGTTCTGGTGAATGAATGAGGTTAGCATGTTTTAATCTTCCACGTTAGCTAACCCTCTCATAGAGAGCTACTGCTGTTAGTATTGCAAAGACTTGAATTTGGACAAAAACATCTTGATACAAACAGTGGTTGACTAAAAACTTCTAAAATGAATCACTGCACAGCAGGAGGTTTGTATCAATAATCTCCAAAACATTGTGTTGCTTCAGCAGATCTTCCTTATGGGGGTCTAGTCAATATAATGAGTTCAGCCACCAGCAGTGTACGGTAAAAAATAATATACAAAAACATCATCAATAGTATAGATACGGTAAGACAAGCAACACCTTTCAAAGAAGAGGCAATTCAGAGTGCTTCACAATAGGTGAAGAAATTCACAGTCATAAGGGAAATTAAAAATAATTAAGATACAGGACTGTTTGCGTAAAGAACAAACAAACACCAGAAATGGCCCAATCAACAGAAAACATAACAGTTCGGAAGAGAAACTGCCACTTGTAGTGTTAGCCTGAGGAAAAACAACATATTTCTTTATTGTTATTTTTTTATTTATTGTCTTGTCTCTTTCTGAATGTGTTTTTTGTATTTTTCAGTGGTACATGATCAGCATCGTCCACATCTACAATCGCTGGAGGAACTCCGAGATCCGTTGCTATGTCAACGGTCAACTCGTCTCCTACGGTGATATGGCCTGGCACGTCAACACCAATGATGTAAGGACACCAATAGAGGGACAGAAGCATTGTGTTCTTATATGCACTGGTCTTTATTAAGAACAATTACATCGAATATTTTAGAAAACCACATTTGGGGTCATTAAGAAACTGTCATAGAGAGATTAGAGACGGTGTTGCAGAGTCAGTTATGGATATTGAAGTTATTATTCTACAGCGTCTGGTTCAGAAAAGTTTTGCTCCCAGCCTCAGAAATCCAGTATTGGTTTGGCTCCACTTACACTTCCCTCCTATTGTGATATTGGCAAACATTCGAGGTTTGCCCTCTGCAGTTGTCAGCTGGGCCAGAGTTGCCCTTGGGCCTCGATCCAGCACAGCTCACCCAAACTCCAGCTTCAAACTTTGCTGTTTAGCAGGGGACAAGTAGCCTGACCTCTCACTGGCAGCAGAGCCTTCATTACACTTCCTCTCTGGTTGGCTCTTGACATTGCTGCAATTACAGAGGGCTGGTGTTATTCTCTGTAAGAAATTCCTCGACCTTGGGGTAAAATGTTCACGCGGCACACCGAAAGACTCGTAAGAGAAGGAACTACGGTAAAATAGTGAAAAAACAGGTCTCAAAATCTGTTGATGCTATCAGAGTTTGTTTTGTCCCGAAGGCTGAAAATAAAACTTATTTCATCACTTTGAAGAAGCAGAAGAGTAAAGATCTCATTGTGAATAAGGCTATCACAGGCATGGAGTAGATGAAAGGCGAACGGACAGAAAGAATGTAATAGCAGGTGATGGCAAAGTTGTAACAGAGTGATTAGAAACGGGCAGCTATCAAAAGTGAATCTGTTTTTCAACATCCCACCATGTTCATCACCACAGAATGACATGAACTTATGTGTCCTTATGATAGCTAAATGTTTCTTGTGTTCTACCTTCTTTTCAGAGCTATGACAAGTGTTTCCTGGGTTCATCAGAGACAGCGGATGCTAACAGGGTGTTTTGTGGTCAGCTTGGAGCCATTTATGTATTCAGTGAAGCTCTCAACCCAGCTCAAATCTTTGCCATTCACCAACTTGGCCCAGGATACAAGGTGAGACAGCTCCCACATACTACTTTATCACCCACTGTACTGTATATTATGTGTCCCCTTTACAGCGCATCAATGTCATGCACTGTTTGGCAGGCAGAATATCCTGGCAACCTAAGCGTCTACAATGTTACTTAATGCTGTCTTTGCCCGTTCACATTGTCAGCTAGAAGTAGTCGAGGCAATCAATCATTCTTGGACTGTCAATAGCAAATATAGCCTGTACATTGGTGCCAGGGTGCCCTTGTGGTTGGAAGGTTGAGGTTTTTGTTGTCAGTTGTCAATGTATGGCCTGTACAGAAGATTTTGCATTTTGTGAATCCTCTCTTATAGTCAGAGCCTGAATTGGACCGAAAAAAAGCGTCCAGTACCCTAATTCAGCACAACCCTAACCCTAAACACAACATAACCATAACCCTAATACTTTTGCAGTTTTTAATACATTTTAAGAAAGACATTTTCAGTGCGGTTTTCTTACCATTAAGATAGCTATTAGTTTACACAGAGATGTAGTGACATGAGCATTTAGGACTACCTCACGGGCGTTGCTGGTTATCCATTCCTTAGATAACTGTTTAAACTGTTTAATTTAGCTATCTATTTTAATCGTTTATTCATTATATTTAGCTGTCTGTTTCAAGTGTATATGTTACTTTTAGTTATTCACCATTTAACCAATTTTTAATTCAACTTTGTATCCACTGTTAGCTCACTACTTCAACCATTTAACCTTTACTTTTAACTATTACTATTTGTTTATCTATTTATTTCATCTAACTATTTCATCCATTTAGAGTACTGATAATCAGAGTACATTACTAGATACTTCCTTTTCTTTTTAGGATTATTAGGATGTATGAAGAAAAAATCTAAAGTGCAGCACTAAAGTAGCTAAAAAGCAATGTATGTATGTACTGTAAATGTATGTACCCCTTTTTTCAACAAGAATACAGAGATCCAGTTTACATTAAAGGAGGCAGAGGTAACTGGTAACACTTATAACCTTGATGCAACTAATTGTATTGTCCAAAACCAAGCTTTTGACAGGGCAGCTGTCTTCAACAAGCTAATCTAATCAAGAGCATTTTTTATTTTGATTAATTCTGCTAATGTCAGCCAGAAAGTCACCGATATCAGTGTACATGTATACTGCTGTTTCAGAAGAGCCAGAAAATTCCAAATTCTCAGCAATACATCATGATGTCGTGCAGCTGAAGACATCTTGTGATTTGAGCGAGGGGCATGGCTGCAGTTACAACCACATCCTCTGAGAACTTACTGCCTACCTAGATTTAAATTCACACACTTTTCACACACACATTCTCTGGGGGTTACAGATATGCATCCCTGTAGATGAACAAAATCAGTGTATATGTTAAGTTAAAACAGATGAAGCAGATTGAGATTAAAGGGGCACAACAAAAAAGTAAATGACAACACTATCGCTAAATACCTTCTGGGAAATCACAAATTGATGTTTGGAATTTGCAGGTTGGAAATATATGAGGATTTTGCCTTAAACTCCAGAGTCTAGACACAGAACTTTACATTCCTGTGGTAATAAAAATTATTCAAATGAGGCATCACAATATTGGGTGTTGAACACTGATAGCTTTAGAAATCATCTTCTCTGCCTTTTGGCCTGGCTATCGGTGACAGCTGAGATGTCACAACACCTTGCCAGCTGTCTGCTTCTTGTTTTGGCAGACTTGCACGCCTCAGGCCACTTACAGCTTGTTTATGAAGGTGTCCAAAGCTGTCAAGATTTCCGCACTGTGAGGCTGCACGGATATCTGAGGCTGCTGATGTGTGCAAACAGCTGCTGGTATTTCAACAGCTCCGTAGAAAGGGTACATACTGAATCAGAAATTTGTTTTTGTTACCAAGACTTGATAAGGTGACACTGGTGGAGAAACATATTGACAACATGTGGAGCACACACAGACTGCATAAGTTCACATAGGAGCACTGAATCATACATGTGAGTTTCACTTCATGCTCCTTCTCACTTCATATAACATAAGGCAAGTTTTATGCCCACTTTATATACCCACTCCTAATCATCACATGCTTGGAGTTTGCTGTGTCTCAGCCATGAATACTGATTCGTCTTTCTGTCACAGCCCACAGTTTCCTGGGGCTGATCAGTCAGATGATTGCCTCTCTGCATGGCGCAGAATGGGCAACTCAGATGCCCAGAAGAGACCATTAAATGGCTCAGTTGTTTCAAAGCTGCAGGCCTGGTGCTAGTATTGTAATGATGAGTGTGCACGTTTTTCAGTCAGCTAAAGGAGAACGCCAGTGGGACTCAGCTTGTGTCACACAGCTTTCTGTCTTAATGTGAATATAGGCCGGTCCTTGTTCTCCTGACTTCACACAGATGCTGATGTGTATATGTGACAAGCTGCTCCTGAGGTATTGCCTAATCGTGTTGAAGAAAACTGCATGTATGCATACCTTACAGCGCACATGTGTATGTGTGTGCGCGTAGCTCCATGTAGCCTCTTGGTCTCAGTCACTGTCAGTGTTACTGTTCAGTAATGAGGAGCACAAAGCAGACAGACACTCTGCTCGCTCTGCTAAACAAGCCTTCAGCACAGTGAGGGTGTTCAAGGTCTTCTTGCTCGACGCGCCTCATGATGGCCGTCACGCTGTGTGTACTGAATGTCTGTATGTGTGTGTAGTTCAACACTTTCATGTCCTCCTAGTGACAGAAGAGGATGGAACATAACATTTTGTTTTTCTGTGGGGTTTATGGTTGAAAGAAAATGTATGTGTTTGTTCTGTGTATGTCCTGTCACTCACATGTTGTTGAATGTGTGTCGCTGGTTGCACTGTTCATCAGGAGTCCAGATGTCCTCATTGCAGAGCACTGCCAGCAGTCTGGCCACAGCATTATTAATGGACCGTGGGAGTCTATCTGGACACCTGTCACCACGTGACTTGTGTGTATTTGTCAGGTTCCATAATGGTTTTATTGAAAGTTTTTTTGTTTTGTGCATTTTAATATTTTAGTATTATATTCCCTAAAAACAGATCTGTATAAGACTTAGAATGACATGTGCTTAACACAGAATATTGATTGATTGAACTGTCCTAAAAGCTGAATATTTTGAATATGAATCAGATTTTATTTATTCAGCTTTATTGCACAGCTGGCAAGGTATCAGTACTGAAATTTAAGTTTCAAATCACTATTGTATTTAGTATTGAAATATTGAATAATTAAACTAAAGAGGCCCAGTTTGAGCTGAATGGATTTGCGTAGGTGTGTGTGTGTGTGTGTGTGTGTTTGTGTTTGTGTGTGTGCGTTTGCTGTTATCACTGCAAGCCAGTCTCGTATCTGTAGCTGTCAGCTTCAACTCTTTGCTGAGTTGTCACTTTCATTCCTCTGTGTGTGTTAGTGTAACCAGGTGAGGGACACACGTGTGTTAAATCACAGCTGTAAAATACTTAACATCTCTCATGTTTGCACTCTCTTGCATGTTTCTCCTGCTGCCTGTCGAATGCCTGCGTGCTTCCCTCAACACTTTAAAGAGTCAGCAAAGCTATTGTATACTTTCAGCTACCTGCCTCCATCATTCAGCATGGCAACATAAACACAAGCTCACATTCACCCAGCAACGTCTATACATATGCACAAGTACACTCCACAATAAAAGGGCTTACACTGCAAAAAATGTGCATCTTAATAAGCGTATTAATTTCACATTCAGGCTATTCAGTATTTTTTTGTGCCGAGGGCCCACTAACCTTCAAAATAAACCGAAGAGCAATTTATTTGTGTTTGTGATTGATTATCCTTGCACATGGCTGCAGTATTCTGGGTTACTTTTGAAGGATAAGGTTTTTAACATAGCTGTTTAATAGATTTTTAACAGTGGGTCATCAGCTCTTGTATTTCACCAAAGTAATAATTCATTATCCAAGCAAGCTTTTTGTGTCACAAGTGAGTCTGATAATTGGAGGGAAAGAGAAAATTAAAACTAAGACAATGCTTGAAAACCAATGACTTGTATTCAGCCCCTGGATGGAGAAAAGGATGTTACACAGTAGAGGGGCCGTTTTCTTCAGAGGTCTCCATTTTGCAAGGCGCTCTTAACTTCAGTGTGAAATTTAGTGCTGCATGGTTGAAACTGCTCAGGGCATTTTTTCTACACCAGACATTAGATGAAAGGTTCAGAACAAGACGGGCCTGCAGGTCTGTGAGCAGCCTGGGGGTTTCCTGTGCAGCCAGGCTGATCAAGGCACCTGGGGACCCAGCCGCTCGAAGGGGAGAGCGCCCCTCGCCTGGAGCTGCTGCAAAGGGTGGCAGAGCAACTCGCTGGCCTTTCGTCTGCAGGGCTTCATGTGTGTATCATCACCACTGCGGGATACATGGACCCATAGACCTTTGCAGACAGACAGATATAGACACAGAAGAAGACACACACACACACAAAGTGCAACCTACACCTCCTACAATATCATTTTTTTCAGCATTTTTCTTTAAGGTAGCCAATGATACAAGGTCTGTGTCTGTTTAGGCATGCCTTATAATTCTTTACAAGTTTTTTGTAATCTTGGTATGAGCAACTAATATCCGATAAATATTACGAGGCAAAAAGTCCACGATAAAGAAACTTTAGATTTCCGAAAGATAAATGCTTAGCAGCTTGTGGTAAAGGTCAAAGTTGGTGTGCAAAAGGGAATGTAATATTCAGAAATTGAATAACACAAATTTGTCTATTTGTGTCCGTAAACTTTTGTGTGTTTTTTGTTGGTGCACTACAAAGAGAGAAGATAAATTTCGAGCCCTGAGCGCCTCTCTCCCACACATCCGCTCCCCCTCTCCATCTCTTATTCTGGGCTAATTGAATTAGTGCCCGGGTTAGCGCTGTGTTCATTAAGCTAATGCTGTGTTGTTTACACACGGCTCATGCTGCAATTAAGCAGACTCCATTTTGGGTGTTGAATGTGTACACACAGACACACGCACTCGCAATTCTCTTGTCTCTGGCCGTGTCATTTGTCGTGTCAGTTTTTCTCACACGACCTTTGACATCTTCTTCTCTCCCCACCACTGCAGAGCACTTTTAAGTTCAAGTCGGAGAGTGACATCCACCTGGCTGAGCACCACAAGCAGGTGTTGTATGATGGCAAGCTGGCCAGCTCCATCTCCTTCACCTACAACGCCAAGGCGACGGATGCTCAACTCTGCCTGGAGTCATCACCCAGGGAAAACGCCTCCATCTTCGTCCACTCACCACACGCACTCATGCTACAGGTCAGTCCGGTTGTATTCTTCTAAATGGCTGTTCATCACACTCCTGGTTTCAGATCTCTGAATCACTGCCACATCTCTTGATTTGTTCAGCAACTCATTATTGAATGAATGAAGTGAAACGAAATGAAATGGAAGTTCAGTTTGATTATGAGGCTAATTTGTCACTAGGTGACTCACACCTGCCTCAGCTGCAGTTGTGAAAATCTGTAGTATTTACCCTGCTTGGAGTACTGTGGATGTGGGGTTTACCATAGAAAGACAAGTGAAAAAAGAAAGAAAATACAAAATGCACCTTGTGAAAGACCCCACGCCCTGCAATAAATACCAATATGTCATTTTTTTGGTGAGACTCTCAGCTGATAATTGAACTCTCCTTGTTGGGGATATTGTTTGCATGGTAGATGTATTTGAGCAAATATCTTTCCAAGTGTCCTTGCTCTTGTTCAAGGTTGGTGAGGCTCTGCTTTGTTAATATTGAGTCTTCTTTGTATCTCAAAATATGTCTCTGTTAAAATTATTTTTGTATTTTTTCCTCGCTGAAACAAAAAAGATCTTTATTGCAATGCAGGATTAAGAAAATGTATTACATCTTCTAACTTTAAATTGATGAAAATCTGGAAGCTAATGATCAATAGACATTAAACATCAAAGGACAATATGTAAATTCATTGTGAAATAACAACTTAGTTGTATTTCTGACCAATGTTAATTTCTGAGCTTTAATTTCTATTCAAACTTGTAGTAATGCTGTATTTAAGACAAACAGTAGATCTTCTGGTGTATGTCTGTATATGAGAGCAGTTTCATTTCTAATGACACTGAGTGAGTGTGTGATTTTTATCTGTGCGTCTCCGTGTACGTACGTGTCTCTGTCAGCACTAACAGTCCATTTCCGTCCCACAGGATGTGAAGGCCATCGTTACTCACTCCATCCACAGTGCCATCCACTCTATAGGAGGCATCCAGGTCCTTTTCCCTCTCTTTGCTCAGCTGGACTACAAACAGCTCAATGACAGCAGCGTGGACACCACAGTCTGGTGAGTTGTCTATAAACATAAATGGAACCCAGTGACTGTGTGTAATATAAACAATATAAATGATTTCTAGTACATTAAATGGGCAACAACATCCAAAAATGCACGTTTTGTTGTTTCAAGTGCAACGTGTACTGCAGCTGATCCTGCAATGGATTCAGAAACAAATGGGGGAAATGGAAAAGAAGAGGCTATAAGCGACATTAGAGAAAGATGAATCCTATATGTGTGAGAATTATCTTCCATCTGAAAGACCAACCTTAGACAATTATGCTGCAGGCTAGAAATAACTGATTATAAAGAGCAGGACATAGTAAGTAAGTGTGAAAGGAAGAAGAGTTATGTGGTTTTCTCCGGAGCGACGAGCAGCTTTTATAAAGTTGGAGTATCTGCGTTCTTCTTGCTCCAAGATTGTCTTGATACTGCCTCCATCACATGAGCCTTAATGACGTTACATATCAGGCGGCATCTCCACATCATGTTAGCTCCAGTCAGACTATTCGTCAAATATAATCCGGAATACAATGATAACACAGGGTGAATGTGGGTATTGGGAGAGGTGAAGCAAACATGGAGCAGGTTTTCTTGCCTCTTTACTCACACACTCCAATAGAGAACATTTTGAAAGCCATCAAATATTTCCAAGCAGCTTTACGGAAACATGTGTGCACAATTTGTATGTTGTAGTGCCACTCTGCTGGCGTTCCTGGTGGAGCTGTTGAAGAGCTCAGTGGCCATGCAGGAGCAAATGCTGGGAGGGAAGGGCTTCCTGGTGATTGGATACCTGCTTGAGAAGGTCAGTGAAAGTCCTGCACCATGAAGAGTTTGTGTTGTTGTTGAGTAAATGAAGAGAGTAGCCTTGTGCCATTACTTACATTAAGTTTTCTATGCTTGTAAGGTCTTTGGTTTTATAATGCTTACGTAACTACGTACCTTTTTTTTTTTTTTTTTGCATTATGTTTTAATTGCCTTGATACTTATACCTGTCTGCTGTACATTCAATTGCCTAAGTTAAGTACATATCAGTAAAACGACATTCAATAGTGCAATAAATTCTACCTTCATGATGTTTATAATGTTCAGTTTTGGTTGAAAGTGTTGTTGATTTAACTTAATGTTCTTTTTGGAGGCAGCAGTTTGCAGTGCTGTTGAATTGCATTGCGTTATAGTGGCAGGTGTTTTTATTATTTTGTTCACCCCATTTTTATGAGGGTACGCAGAATAATAGAAACACAACTCTTTATAACACAATACATTACAACAGTACCAAAAACTGTAGCCTTCTAAACTATCATACTGCTGAATCAACACCTCTCTGAGGAAATGTTTATTAGTTTAATTTTATTTCTTCTCAACAGTATGCCACAAATGTGCAAAAAGACAATGTGAGAGGAAGAGGAAGAAAGTGTCCTCATTAATTACAGACTTGGTTGCTAGTGTAAATGAATGACTTGACACCTTTGGCAACTGTAGGCATCTAAGATTATGCAATGCAAAGCATAATGCAGCAGATGATTAAATGTAACCATAATAAAGCATCTCCTGACACAGTAACTTAAATAAAACCGATGTCATTGAAATTAAATTATTTGTAGACCTTTACTACACTGAACTCTTCTGCTTGTTTTGTCCTCTGTGTCACTAAAATGTCAAACAGTAACCATGGCAACTATGCATCTACTGTACCGTAAGGATGCAGTTATCTTTTGTAACAGTTTAAAGGAGCTGTTGTTGGTGAGATCTTAGCCACTTTGAGGAAGACTAAAGATATACAGTGCTGTATAAAGACACTGTTTTAGTTAAAAGGCAAAACAGGGGTTTACATGACCATTCAGTCTGGTTAACTTACAGCCTCTATTTCCTGTCTTTTGTCCAGTCGTCACGAGTCCACATTACCAGGGCGGTACTTGAACAGTTCCTGTCTTTTGCCAAGTATCTGGATGGTTTACCTCACGGAGCGCCTCTCCTCAAACAGCTCTGTGACCATGTCCTCTTCAATGCTGCCATCTGGATACACACCCCTGCCAAGGTCTGTTTATTTGTGTGTATCTACTGAATATGTGTTTGTGTGTGTGTGTGTTTCTATGAACTTGCTGCAAAAAAAACAGATGATGATGGTCTGAATAAGAGAATTAATGGGGGTGACAGGCTCAAACAGGCATGACAGCCAGAGAAAATAGAAAAATAAAGCAAGATAATGTTTTCTATGCTTATCATGTCCAGGGCGGGGGGGGTTTCTCTAAATGCAAGGAAAATTCAGGCAGGAAGTTGAGAGTGACATCTTAGTGGCCGTTGCCCTTTACAATAATATAACAAAGGAGGTTGCAGGACACGGAGGGAGGAACTGGCGCATCACGCAGGGAAAGGACAGAACACAACAAGTGAAGGAAACAAAGAGAAAAAGTGACATTTGAAGAGACCGCAGGACAGGAGAGAGATGTGTAGTTCCTCTTTTTTCCCTCTCACTCTGAACTAAATGTGAGTGTTCTTGGCGTACCCGTGGGGCCAGTCAGCTTTTGCCTCCATTATTTTCAGAACTTCCTGACTCCCTGTCTTCTTCCCTCTGACCCTGAGAAGTGATTGGCTCCTGGGTATAGCGGTGCCGTTATCCGGGGCATGCTGGAGTTAAGACAGAAGAAATGTGACTGAGCAGCAGCTGCTGCTTAGGCGAATGAGGAGGGTGTGAAAGTCAGAATCTAACACAGCATAAACATATCAACATTAGTTGACACGTCACCATAAAACAATTCAAAGTGGCTAGGCTAGAAGTGATTGCCCATTTGATTTGATACAGAAAATTACAATGAATTGCCTGTAAACATTCAGCATGGCCATAATGAAAACAAGACAAGCATAATTTATGTACTCAGCAGCAAAACACAAAAAATTAGTTAATCCTTTAATCTTACTTCCACTGTACCATTCTGTCTCCTACTGAGCTTTATTACTTTCCACTTCTCAGTGTATTATTATCCCCTCCATCATTGGCAGGAATAGCCTTGGTCATACTCAGGACTTAATGAAACACTTGAATAAATTGCATGTGAATCTCAGTACAGTAACGTCTTTCTCGCTCGCAATGTTTTCTCTTACCGGGCACCTCTGGCAAAACATAATCCTTTCAGAGGCTCGAAGCTGTTGTTGCAGCAATGCAGCCCAAACTATAGTGTTATGATCAAGGAATGCCAGGACTGTCTGCAGCTGAACTTGTTGTAAAGCACACCAGATAAACATCAGCTCAATGTGTGAAATGTAATGTAATGAAGGCCGTTTAAGTCAGCTGAGTGCCCTCTCCATTCTAGATGAGCTGCGATGCGGTATGGTCAGGCCACGGCACTCCGCTAATTTCATCCTCTTAAACAGAGCTACCTCGTTAAGGCTGGTCCTTCGCGTCGTGGTCACTGTAATGAGCTCAGAGATTTGTGAGCTTGAGCAGACTCGAATCTGTGTACGGGCTGTGGAGAGGATAGGTTAGAGTGATATTAAGAAAGGGAAATGGGGGAACAGCAGGAGGCAGGAAGGGAGGGAAGACAGAAATGAGCAATTGGTGAGCGCCCTCCTTAAATGTCAGCGCTGCGTAAGGAGCTCCTCAGATGCTTGGCGGCTTCAGTCACAGAAACATCAAAAATAACACAAAGCAGAAAACATTGTTGCTTTTGCTAGAGGGAAGTTTCCTCTCATTCCCCTGTGGCTATCTTTCCAAAATAAAACTGCCTTTTGTTTGAACACCAGAAACACACACAGATGATTTGTTTCTCCCCAGAAGGGGTCTGACAGTTCGTATTTGTCCATCGACCTTTGTGCATATGTATGTGTGTGTATGTAGCTCTATCTACAGTATAAATCGTTGTGTGTGTGTGTTTATAAAGGTCCAACTATCCCTCTACACATACTTGTCATCGGAGTTCATTGGCACCGCCACCATCTACACCACCATCCGCCGTGTCGGCACCGTCCTGCAGCTGATGCACACTCTTAAGTACTACTACTGGGCCATCAACCCGCTGGAGTGCAGTGGAATCACCCCCAAAGGTCTTGGTAAGTTCACACATTCACGCAATTTGCACACAAAAGTGTTTTCACTGTAAAAAGAAAGAAAAAAGATAAGAAACAGCAATCAATCGTTTCCATCCATCCATCCATCCATCTTATTTGACTGTATAAAGTCACAGTAGGCTGGAATCTCATTACAGGGCTTCCACACAAAGACACATTCTGTGTCACATTCACACCTATTTGCAATTTAAGGTGTCTGACCGAAGTGCTGGCTGTGCACAACCCATCCCACCCCACCCCAAACACAACACAACACACACACAACACACACACACACCGTTCTCAGAATTGAGGGAGCTGTGTCCAACCATTGCTGTAAATTTCCTAAACCGACAATCTGACAGGTACGCATCGATTGGTGAGACAGGAAGCAGGATTTGAAGTATTTCTGCCACTGTTTATGTGTACAACTGAGTGCGAAATAAATGTCTTCCAAGGAAGTACGTACAATTATTCCCAGTGTGGCTGTTGGAAACAAGTATAAGTTATTTTACCTTCCCACGTGGTTGGACAACGTCTTTGCAAACTACCCTTCTTTATGTTTCTAACTCGCCTTTCTTGCATGTTTTTGGACGGTGGGATGAAACACACAAACAAACGTTAAAACATACAAACCCTAAACAAAAACCATTCTGTAATGTGTGGACATTCATAATAATCATCATATATACATTAAATATCCAGTAGGTTTTTATCTCTGTGTTTGTAATAATGTTGGACTTACAACCCTTCTTGTTATGATGTTGGCCTGTTTATTAATTATCTATTAATGGCAAATGTTGCAGTTATGTTCTGTCTAGAGTTCCTTTCCTTGTCTTCTTTGATGCAAACTGCTGCTGACATGAGCCTTAAAGATTTATTGAGACATTGTGTGTGATGTCAGACATACAAGAAACTTGAGCTGACTCAACTTGATATAGAATTTCAATAAATCAGCTAGCTGTTGTCTTCCCATTAGGGTTTACAAATGCAACTGACCTTGACGTCAGTGGATAAAGGCTTCCATTGATTAATACATAGAGTGGGAGAGTTGTGCATTTTAAAAAATGGATTTTTCTTGGCCACAGTCACACTATGCCATAGTATTAAAGAGGTCAAACACAAGAGGACCTTAACACCACACAAGCCAAATACCAGTGATATATTTCTACTAAATCTACATTATTTCTGAATCTACACTATAATCATCACCTCTACACACTTGTTAAAGATTTCTTTCTTTCCTTGATTCCTGTTAAAACAGTCTGTCTCCTGTGGAGCTGTGTCAGCTAACAAGTACGTTTCACGCTTGCCATAAAAATCTAGAGTAGGTGGTTTATAGCTACCCACACTCCAGAAGAGTTTTGCTATAATACAACGTATCCATTCCTCAAAATCTGAGACAGTTACTATTACACAGTAAAGCAGGAAAACATGAGTTATAATTTCCAGAGATGTAGGAATATAAGTCATAACCGAGAAGATCATTTTGTATTTCATGAATGTGTTTCTACAATCATTAGTTTCACAGCCATGAGAATTCTCAGTTTTGAGGAACTTCAACACTTTATATTAAAAAAATGTACGCAGCAAAAGAGAATCACGTTTAATTATATGGAGTTACCTTATGAGAGTGAGTATTTTGTGAAAAGAGCTTTTTAAAATGAGCTACTAAAGAGGCTTTGAAATTGTCAGATCAGTTTTATCTTACGACTGAAAACAACCCCATGAATGCCCGGAGTCAATAATCAATGAGTCTCGAATAGCTAACTGAAAGTCTAATGGATTTAAATGGTTATGCAAATTGTCAGAAACGCCTAATGTAATGTCAGGTCAAATAATTACAGCTTTGTTAAACTGAGTAAAGTGGTCATTTAGCTACACACAGGCACATACATAATCATTGGGTAACCCTCCCTTCCCAGCTCTGAGGTGCAAATGTTTCTGAGTATTTGAGATTGAATAAGGCAGAAAAAGAGAATGTATATTCTTTTTTCCTGTAAAAAAAAAAAAAAATAACTGTTTTTTTTGTAAAGATCACCTAACAGAAATCAATTATTTTTTATTTTGAATTGAAATGCTTGCACGTCTTTTTGTGCTTCCAGTGAATGCAGTGTATTTGGAAACAAAACTATGAAAGAAAGAAAAAGAAAAAGAAAAGGAATTGCAATTATAAAACACATCATATTCCAAACACAGCTTTTATATTTTCACTGCCCTTTGTATTTCTGCAGAGAACAGTGTTAACACAGCTACTGTTGCCTCAAACCAGAGCCTCAGAAAGGTCGGATCAGGCCTTTTGCTTTAATAAACCTCTTCTTTTGCCCGGGACCCTCCACTGGCAATGAGTATGCATCCCACGTCGCCATGGCAACAGACAGATTTGATTGGCAGATCCAAGGGAGCTTTTGGAATTTCTAATCAAGTGGCTGTCTGGCTTCCTTTCTGTTTGGCAATATTGCTGTTTGACTGCTGGGATTTAGCCCCATGAAGAAGCACTGATAACTGTAGCAATTAGGCTCAGACACATACTAATGGCTGTTCAAAGCTAAAGGATGTGCTAATTGTGGTGTGGAAGTCTGCACGTGTGTGTACTTGCTACTGTAAGAGTGTGATATGCATTTATCGAATTAATTTGCATATTAATTGGCAGATATTTTGAACATACAATGGGCTTTGTGGACTGAGATGTTTTTAACTTTGCCTCAGACTGAAATAATAAGGTTGAATCCAAGCTGGATTTTATATTGGTGTATTTTTACCCTGCACCTGCTTTGAATCTCGTTAGAACTACACAGTCAGTCCCTTTCCAAGTTTTTCTCATATTTTACAAATAACTCCACTTGATGTAGGTTAAAAATTGCTTTCATGACCACAAAAAGGGAGAGCGTGTACTGTACCTAATACAAAACACCTCAGGCCTTTTGTACCAGTCAGGTAAATTGCTTTTGAACTCTGCAGCTAAATTGTAATACAGTGGAAACAGTGAATAAATGCTTCTTTTGGGTGAAACAAAAATACAACTGAAACAAATGAATGTCATAAAAGTTATTTTATTTTTAGATTTTTCTAAAAAAAAAAAGAAAGAATATTGTGCGTACCTCAGTGCTATCATTATTTTTTGTATTTATTTTGTTCTCTATTTTGTTTTTTTATGTTATACCCTGTAATGTAACATAATGCGATTGGCCTGGTGTTTCATTTCATAGTAAATATCTTACATGTGCATAAGTCATTTTCACACACAGACTGAATGTAGAGCAGCAAACAAAGGAAAAGACTTCACCAAACAATAAAAATCACTATATTTTTAGATCAAATCAACCCATGTGTTTAGTTGTTTCAAGAGTCCCAAAGTCACAGACAGACACAGAACGTGCATTGTCATTATCTGGCAGAACAAAACAGTTTTTCGCAATGACTATATAAAACCGTCATATCAGGATAAAAGACACACAGAAGGAAGAAAAAATCCTTTTTAAAAAGTAAAAGAAAATATTTAAAGCTGCCCCCGAGAATCGGTTCACGTGAATATAAGCTTCATTCAAATCCCTCAAAATCCAAGACCTTTAAAACAGAGGTTGCACATGGTGCATCCGTGCACTCGCTTGACACAGAGCTGCTGCGTAACCATGATAGATGTGAGTGTCACCACTCTGCCAGCATGTACCAGCTTGATGTATAAGGATGATGGATCACAAGGGATTGCTTCAGTGTCATGTTTTGGCTTTGTGAAGAGCAGGTGAACCTACACATTCATATGATTCAAGGCCAGCAGAGCATGACAGAGAGCTGGAGAGGCCTCGTATCTTCCTCCTTTCACACCCTCCGTCTTTTATGTTTCTCTCCAGCTTACTTCCCGCTGGCTAAGCAGCTGTGAGTCAGATATCGGTTTAAATATTCTGAGAGGTGCATTTCATTGAGCTTACAATAAATACTGTTTGCAGTTGCAGTTCTCTCCCTTTGTAGCTCGCGTTGAAAAAAAACACTGATTCCAAACATTACAACGCAGCAAAGTGAACACAAGCCGGACATCATAAATGTTTATTGTTGCCGTATATAATTAACAAACCTCTGTTGGGAATATTGAACGAAAACAGGTAGCTTGTAAGAGTTATTGTGTGTTAATGACAAGATAAAGATGAGTAATAAAGCAGTAAAGAGAGAAGTTGAGCTCGCTGCAGTGGCCACTGGGACCATTAGGAGGAAAAATGCCCTTGTTTCTAAATGGTGGGTCTTATATCCTTCTCGCTTTGATCTGTATCTTTTCATCTTTTATACTATTTGGCACCATATTCCATTAGTCAGTTATTTGGCAGCCCTTTTGAGCCGATTCATCACAGCCCTAAGCTTCTACTGTATCTGGCTTACACATTAAACACCTTAAAAATGAACAAAATACAATTACAAGAATGAAAATGCAACGTCAACATCTGAGTTGTCGGTTTTTCTTCTTAAACAAGTGCTGCTGTGCCAGGGTTTCAGATGTAGGAGTCAGAGTTTTAAAGCGTCTGTTGAAGCTAAATTGAGGCCAGAATGAGCAAATGTTACAGTTAAGACCCCCAAATTTCATGAACGTGGTGGTTCTTTGTGGCGCACTTAATGGAGGTAATGGAGGTTTGTGGCAGTTATGGATTATGGCAAAATGAAGCTAAATGTTTCAAGACCAGCGTAAGACGTCACACCTTTTAAAAAGAGGCAATGACATCAGTACCCACATGAGAAATTGCTTGTGCTATGCGTCAGAGGCTTTCGTGTTTTTAGCTTGATTATTTCTTTGTAGCCCAGCACAGCAAACAAACTGACCGAGTGCCAGAGCTTTAAAGTACATACAGTGGATTACAGTGCTTGTTTGGTTTGGATCATTTGGACCATCAATCACATTTTTGTAAATTGCCATGTCTTTGCTGTAATCAGTTAGATTAGTACAACTATAAAATATCCAGATTGCCAAATTGCCTCTGGAGTTAATGACAGTGATTTACAGTTTGTGTTTCTATCATAGAGTGTCTGTGTGTGTGTGTGTGTGTGTGTGTGTGTGTCTGTGTCCGTGTGTGTGTGTTAACATGTTTTTCTCTGCTCTCCAGGAAACCTAATAAAACCTAATATCAGTAAACAGTAGGGCTCACTCATACTGAGCTTCAGACTTATTTAGCTGATCATTATCATGCATAAAAGTGTTTTTTTAACAGGAAATTATTCTTTTGTTTGTGTGCATTTAGACGGACCACGGCCATCCCAAAAGGAGATCATCTCGCTCAGAGCCTTCATGCTTCTCTTCCTCAAACAGCTCATACTGAAGGTACAGCGAGAGGAACGGATTAACATTATCTCCTTCACATAGTTTAACTTGCAAGAAATCGCTTTTTTCCATTATGTCCTCAGCTGTTTTTCTCCCTGCTGGGGACTGCTGGCTTAATCTAAAATGTGTGTGGAGAATCCCATTATAGATCAGCAGCCCTTAACGAAGCACTGTATCTGTTTGTGTGTGCTTGTATTGATTTCCTGCATTTACGTGTGTGTGTGTGTGTGTGAGAGAGAGAGAGAGAGGTGGTTGCTGCTTCATGGTTAAAATCCATCAACCAGGAACAGAATTAATAAAGTTATCTGAGGTTAATCAGATGTAAAAACGACCAAAGATCATGAGTGTTTTGATGCCATGTCTGTTTCTTTCACAGGACCGGGGCGTGAAGGAGGATGAGCTACAGAGCATTCTCAACTACCTTTTGACCATGCATGAGGTAAACGCTAACTTCTGTGTCAGAATTTACACTGTAAGGGAGGGCAACACAAAAAGAGACAGTAAGAGTGGTTGAGTGGAGCTGGTGGCAAAATGTGCATTATAATTTGTGGGCTGGAGTTATGGTCCACTTAAACGAGTGAGGGTGTGAGTCAGCTTCACCGCTGTGACAGCATGAAAAATGGCGCAACAATGGACTGAACAGAATGTACTCTTCTGTAACAATTATATCTATTCTTGCTCTGAAATATCACCTGCTCCTCCGCAATCCCCCACCCCTCCTTGTCCACCCTTACAACTCTCTCTTTGTCCTCTTAACCCTCTATTCTTCTGTCCCATCGGGCTTCCTCCTTCCTTTGTTATTCACCTGTTCATCTTTGCTTTCTTTTTTCTCTGCAGGATGAGAATATCCATGATGTGCTCCAGCTGCTGGTAGCTCTTATGTCTGAACACCCAGCGTCCATGATCCCTGCATTTGACCAGAGAAATGGAATAAGGTGAAAGAAGCCTGCACATACACACGCATATAAAGATTTGATGCAACACTAAATCCTACTGACACCAAAAAGACCGTTCTTTATTTTATATGATTCATTGTCTATCTGAACACATTTTGTTTACACCTTTGGTCAGACCTTTTCTGTTTATGTTGTTTTATAACAACTACACATATAACAATATCAGTATTAATTACAACATAATAGCCAAAATAAGTTGAGCTATAGGCCATAGCTTATACAATTGAAATCTCTTGAATAAATTCACAAAGCAGTTGCATTATATATGCAATTTTCCTGTTCTTAATATGGTTTAGAGAAATAAAGTAATTTACACATTGTAAAATAAGGGAGAGATTTAGACTAATGGATGGAATATTTACCAAATGCAATTATAATTATTATATGATTTGTTTAAGTTTTCTTCCAGAATGTGCAGCAACAACAACATAAATGCTTTACTGCCATTGTTTGTATGTCCAGTTATAATACTGATGTTACATATACAAAGGGTAGCTTAAACCAAGCAGCATGAATTCTTAAAGATGGACTCCAACTGTGCTGCGTAGTCCCAAAAAGCACAAGTGGATTTTTCTCCGGTTGCTATGGTAAATCTTCTGTTGCCGGAGAACTAGTCAGCAAACTGTTGTGCTTTTTTTATGTCCTGTAAGTTCACTCCTTTAAAGAAAATGCTTCAGTTAGCGCACGTGTTGTTAATTTTAAGGATGTTTACTGAGTAGCAGGCAGCAAGTGTTTACTTCCCACTGAGGAACTCTATTTTTAGACTATATCTAAGTATTATAAGCCCTTTTTTGACATGTAGTGGCTTTGTGTTTGACATGTTACAGGGTAATCTGCAAGCTCCTGGCCTCTAAGAGCGAGAGTATCCGAGTCCAAGCCCTCAAAGTCCTGGGCTACTTCCTCAAGCACCTTGGTCACAAGTCAGTACTTCTTTGTCTCTGTGCTTTCTGTCTGGTTTATTCCTTTGTGTGGTGTTCAGTAAATGGTGGATCACTGAAATAAGGTAGTGAGATTGAGAGGCCTCGCATTTAGGTCTGCGAGTGAGAAAACACTCTGCAGTAAAAACTGAAAAACTACAGCAGTGCAGCCTCCAGTGAGCCTTAGAAGAACTGTTTGTTTGTGTGTGTATGCGAAGATAATGTCCTCATCATCAAGTCCAGGCGGAATAATCATTTCGACGGTGTGCACTGGCAGGGAGGTGGAACCTTGATGAGCAGCAATGAATGCTGGGGGATTTATTCGTCCCATGTGACACACACGCTTCTCGCTGCACGACATGGGAGCAAGCTGCCAGGCTGCACCTGAGCCCTGCCCCTTCAGTCCCCCCCCCCCCCCCCTCCACACACTTAACATCTGCTCCAGCCAAACATCCTGTAGGGCTGCCTCTTTAAGTTCGCTACAATACTTACGTAAATGTAATATTGATCCGGAAAGTAATTCAAACACAATAATAAAAACATAATATATTTTCACTATATGTAATATATTTTTAATATGATCATTTATCAGCATATCTAATAAACAACTGTTTTAGGTGTTATTTTAGAATTGAATTTTATTTTAAAAACTGCTTTACATTCACACTTGGTGAGGGTTAATATATAATCTTGACAAATAACATTTTTTGTAGGAATACTGCTAATAGAATTGTTGCTTTATATACATACAGTATATGCATTAATGCATTAAGGCCCATGTTCTCACATCCGTTTGAAAGCAGAGTAACTGCATCACAGGTGCATCAACAGGGCATCGCTTAGACCATAAAAGAGCTGTTATGAGGTCTGTTTATTTAGGATTTGCAACAGTCCACCAACTCATGGAGTTACTTTGAAATTTTATTTAAGATTTAGGGTTAAGTGTGTGTGTGTGATTTGATCTCTTTTTTTTGTAGACATAATGCATGATGTTTATTTCTGTTATTTTTCCCATTATTCCCTCAGTTCTATATTATCTGTTTGCTTTTTTAAATTTATTTTGTTCCAACAGACAAAGGGGTTGGAACCTTGTCAAAACAATTGTCCGTTTCTGTTAAATTAAAATTAGTAACTCATTAAACTGTGTGGAAAAACTAATTAAAAACATGATAATGGGAGCTAATGATTTGCTAGGAATATATGTATGATTAGATATTGTGCAAAGTTTACTTAATTTCTCGTTTCTAATGACCTGGTTACAGGAATAATATACAGACAGCATTTGAGCATTATTCATTTAATTTAATTAAAAAAAAAAAATACTAGAAGTTAGTCAACCCTGATTTCTGAGCCTCTCAAATTAAAAGCCTCTCAGAGACACAATTTTCACCCTCTGGCAAGGTTAATAGTCACACTTAATAATTTGCAGCCACACGAATGCTGCCCCAGTGACTTCTGCAGTGTTCTGTTAATGCCTCTTGTTAATTTCTCTTGTTGGTATTCATTTCTCGTCCTCTTTGGTCCCATCATAGCTGACAGGGCCACATGGTGCCACCTGCCAATATCAGACCATCATCAGACAAGTGACAATCAATGTCAATTTCAACTGTCATAAATTCTGTTATGAATGGCAAGCTGTGTGTGTGTGTGTGTGTGTGTGTGTTTCCCCCTTGCAGGAGGAAGGTAGAGATCATGCACACGCACAGTCTGTTCACACTGCTGGGGGAGAGGCTGATGATGCACACCAACACTGTTTCCATCACCACTTACAACACTCTGTACGAGGTAGGTGATTGTTTGGCGGCGGCTCATTAACACACACCGCGTTACTGTAGCAACGTACATGAAGCGATAACCTTTTAGTCGCTTTTGAGTTGTCAGAATTGTCAAGTGATTGTTGTGGCATTTAATTGGCTGTTAATCTTCTGTCTGTGCAGATTCTGACAGAGCAGGTCTGTACTCAGGTGGTTCACAAACCCCACCCTGAGCCCGACTCCACTGTCAAGATCCAGAATCCCAGTAAGTACAAAAACACTGTAGCTTGCATATGTCTGTCTCTCTGTATTCTCTGGTTTGCCAATAATGCGGTGTTGTTTTAATACGAGTAAACAAACAACAAAGCCTGAATTCAGAAGCCGACACTGCTGCCATCTCTCACTTATTGATCTGCCTCACACTTGCCTGTTCCTCACATTTCTCTCTCGCATTCAAAATACTTTTAATATATTTGTTTCTCCTTCCTCTCCCCTTTACCCAATGTTTGCCTCCCACCCAGTGATTCTAAAGGTAGTGGCCACCCTGCTGAAGAACTCCTCTCCCAGTGCTGAGCTGATGGAAGTCAGGAGACTCTTTCTTTCTGACATGATAAAACTCTTCAGTAACAGCCGCGAAAACCGTCGGTAAGAGCACGCCAGTGACTGTACTTGCATTCACTGAGCTACGTGTCATTTGCTTCCCACAGTGATGGTTATATTTTGATGTTAAATTCATGCTGCAGCCCAACTTACATACAGTGTTTGTGTTCTGTACCAGCTGCCTGCTGCAGTGCTCTGTGTGGCAGGACTGGATGTTCTCCCTCGGATACATCAACCCCAAGAACCCTGAGGAGCAGAAAATAACGGAGATGGTGTACAACATCTTTAGGATCCTGCTCTACCATGCCATCAAATACGAATGGGGAGGGTGGAGAGTCTGGGTTGATACCCTGTCCATTGCACACTCCAAGGTGAGAGCAGGATGTGCACTTCTTAGGAAAATAGCCTTAAATAGAAAATAGTCTTAATAAATAGCTCTTTCTCAATTTTCTGTTTGATGGTATATTTCTCTTAGAGTTCTGTGTAAATGGACGGACAAAGATCATAAGTCATCCACAGTTAAAACAGTACATTTTGGTTTAAGAATCAAAGATCAAGGGCTTCTCTCTATACTCACAATTTTGCACTAAAGAACAAACAATCCATTTAAGAGACAAAAGAGAAATACCAATTTCCATATCAAGACGAGCCTCAAGAGACTAGAATGCCATGCCTTACATTTCACATTTTAAAGGCCTGATTCTCCCATTGTTGCAGCCGCTATCACTGTGGGTGTGAGGACTCACAGCTTAATGCGGAATTCCCTTCTTTTGGATGTTGTTGAATGGAAATTTGGGATATCAGTAAATGCTGTAGAACTGAAAGTACAAATATAGTAATGGACAAGGAAGGTTGACACAATAACAAGGTTAATCACTACTTAATTCCACTGATGATCACAGATTAATTAATCAATATACTGTAGAGTAAGCTGGTTCGGTGAGTGGACGTTTCCTTCAAGAAACCGTTAGTTTTTGTTTTTATGCATGCAGTTGTATGTCATTATATATCTTGCCTTAAGTTGGGTGGCGTCCCTTTATTTAAAATTGATTGCACTGAAAATGAACACATCATACTGATGATATTGATCTGTAGGTATTGATATTTTGGAGTGATGCTACAATTTTCAATACTAATAACCTCTCTGTTTGCTAGTGGAAATCTAACTAACCTATTTTCTCATGGTAGTGCAAAAGTGAAGGGACATTATGGATGATGGTCTAATAGCCCCGTTAGTGTCCCAGTTTTACCCATCTAGCCTTTGGTTCAGATGATCTATGAGCCCCATAAGGACTATCTGGTGGAGAAGTTATTGATGTGAAGGTTAACTATTGTCAGTGCTTGTGTTCTGATCACATAACCAATTAAATCCCCACCATCTGTCACAGGTGACCTACGAAGCCCATAAAGAATACTTGGCAAAGATGTATGAAGAGTACCAGCGTCAGGAGGAGGAAAACATGAAGAAGGGGAAGAAAGGCTCTGTGTCCACCATCTCTGGGCTCTCCGCCACGCCTGCCCCTGTTGTTAACGGCAACCTGGAGATAGATGACAACTCCCAGACGCAGACACCTGAGAGTGAGGCCGAGTACAGCGAGGGAGCTGGCGGAGACTCGCGCAACCTCCTCGCTGAAGGCACTGTGAAGCGACCCAATGGAGAAGCCCTCACACCTGGGGAGCAGACCGCTGGTCCAGGGGTGAGGGTGGAGGTCCATGACCTGCTGGTAGACATTAAAGCAGAGAAAGTAGAGGCCACGGAAGTGAAGTTGGATGACTTGGACTTGTCTCCAGAAGGCCTTAGTGGGAGTGTAGGTGGAGGAGGTGGGGGAGGAATAGAAAACGGACCTTTGGTAGAGGTGGATTCTCTCCTGGACAGTGCTTACTGCGCCGTAGTTCAAAACCTAAATGGGAATCTGGCACCAAAAGATGACACGCCAGGCTCAGGGGTTGGGATGGGGTCAAGCCTGGGGCTTTCAGGGGTCAACCTGGAGGATGACGGGAACATGGGTCCGCTCATCACATTGGCTGATGAGAAGGACAGTGTCCCGAGCAACAACGGATTTCTCTTCAGCAAGGTAGGATTGATATTTTTTCATTATATGAAGTTTATTGTCACTGATTTCATAAAATCTTCCCCTGCTGACAGACTACAAACCACCAATCAGTCATGGTTGCATCTCTACTACTTTCTCTCTTTCTTAGTCTTTCTACTTTCCCAAAAGTAAAACCTACTGTCTTAATGCAGTTTTATCTTTTTATTATGTTTTATTTCTCCATCCACCTCTTCCAGGTTGATGAGAAGCTTCTTCCAGCACTGGCAGCCACAGACCCACTTGTACTGCCGAGTCCAGACCAACCTACTCCATCCGGCCCGGTCCCAGCTCACTCCACCACCAGTGCCAGTGATGACCTCAGCCTGCTAGCCCACATGACTAGCTGCGGCTCTGATTTAACACAAACCCAGAGCCACACTTCTGGGGAACTTCCGGAGGATGGGCCCTTCAAAATCCAGAGCCCTCTTGCTGACATCAGCTCCATTGCTGAGGCTGAGAGCCAAACCCAGATCCAAGGAGCTTCGAGACCAGATTTCCCAGAGGGAGAGGGCACATCCGGGGCAGAGGGGGAGGCTGCAGGTCTTAAAACTGGGGGAGACACAGCCAGCACCACCTCTGATACAGAGAGGTCGGATGATGGGAAAGACAAGGACACAAAGAAGATCCAGACTACTGCAACCACTCAGGTGTGTTCATCGTGTAAATGTGTCTGATTGTGTTGTTCACGCAAGTCTGTAAGTAAGTTGCTGGGTCTCTCTAATTGGACTTTTTGTGGAGTCTGCAATTGTACTTACTGCAATGGTCTCATGCAGCTACAGTCAATACTGTATTTTAAAGAGTGAACATGTATTTTCCTCTGCTTTTGTTATTAGAATTAATAAAGATACACGGTTTTGATAGTTGGTTAGCTAGTGACAGACATTAAAATAGAATATAACTGTGTATACTGTATCATCGTCATGAGCAAACATTCTCTTCGTTTTGATGTTTTTTCCTGTTGTCTTTCAACCTGGGAAGCTTTGAGTAGCTGCAGCATTTCAATATTTGGTACTAACAAGTTGGAACTTCCTGAAATAAAATCACATCGGTGGAGAAACTGCCTCGTACAACCACAGTCTGATCTGTTGTTCACTGACCTGATCCCCCAGAGTAGGGAGGTTTTAAGAGCCTCAGTCATGGGCACCTCAGTGGTGGTAAGCACGGAGGGTGAAGCACTCTGTCACTCATGCTGGCTCAGGGACTGAATATGTGAACCTTTAGTCACAAGCCTTCTTCTTCAACCTTTAGTCCACTTCTGCCCCAGTGTGACTGGCTGTGCATGTTGATTAACTCAGCCATGGACAGTTTGCTTGGGCAGAAAAGCCAAGTGCCTGCCCCCACATGAACTAAGTTTCCATAATAGCTCTGTGAATACAGAATCTCAGAGAGTCTCCTGAGGTTTCTTTTATAAAATTGAATTCCATAACTCTATGCAAGTTTTATATGAGACTAGTAGAAGATGTACTCTACTGGCTGACAGTCTTTTCCCCCCAACCATGTTTCAGGCCCTTCATGGTCGTACTGCAGCCCAGTTGGAGCGGGACCTACGCGTTGATCTGGGTTTCAGGGGAATGCCCATGACAGAGGAGCAGCGCCGGCAGTTCAGCCCCGGCCCACGCACGACCATGTTCCGCATCCCAGAATTCAAGTGGTCTCCAATGCACCAGAGGTTGCTCACTGACCTGCTGTTCGCCCTGGAGACTGACGTGCATGTGTGGAGGAGGTGAGTTAAGGCTTTTGAGATGTGTCTCGATTACAAATTAGGTTAGCTGTTTTTGCTATTTACCATGTTTGTACAGTTAATACTGACCATAAGACGGTCACTTTGAACAAGGCTCTTGTATGTTACTGTAATAGCAAGATCTTTTATGCCATAAGCTAATACTTTTAGCACTTAATTAAAATAAACTGAAGATATTCAAAAAGTAAAGCAATATGATGCCTCCATTTACAAACTATATCGTCCATCCAACTATTGTTTGTATTTCAGCCACTCCACTAAGTCAGTGATGGATTTTGTGAACAGCAATGAGAACATCATCTTCGTCCACAACACGATCCACCTCATTTCTCAGATGGTGGATAACATCATCATCGCCTGTGGAGGCATCCTGCCTCTTCTGTCTGCTGCCACCTCCCCTTCTGTAAGTGGCTCTACTCTGCCCCTCTGTGGTAGGAGGGAAAACTGCAGGTCAAGGCCTGTAACTCAGGTGTAACACCACACACAGACTTCGAAGAACCGGCTAAAGCTGATTCCCGCTCATGCTAAGGGCTGCGTTGAGCTTGCATAATTGAATAAGTTAAAGAATTTGTTGTCTGTTAGATTTTGTAGATTTTTTTAACCTATAAAATCATCATAGATAAATCAAAAATAAGCTTAAAAGGTTGAATTTTTATACAAAAAGTACAAAAAGTTCTGTTGAGGTTGGCCTTGAATTTAAAAATAGGTAAACTAATTAAACTTTAATAAATTTAATTTTCTGTATTCCTCTCATCTGTATCTCCAATATTTAACTGTCAATCTAACACTTATTGCGCAGTATTCTAACCTTTATTTGTTCTAATGCTTTTAATTAACAATTTATTTAATTTGATAATCTATTTATTTTAATCATGCTTCTTTTTTCTTTTCCTCTCTGTGTTACGTGTATTTTGTATTTTCTTGTCTTTTTCGTCTCTGTTTTTGTCTGTTTTTGCATGTGCAGAATTCTAAGAGTAGTGCCAACACTGTAAGTTGCAGTTTCTTCCTCTCTTTCTATTCTACTAATACTTTGTTCTGGTTTTATTTACCATTGTGACTTACACTAAACCTTGCTTGTCTGACATCCATAGTGTTTCTATTTGTTGTGCTCCTTTGCTGCTAATCAATACTCCCCCTTATACTGTTTGCATCTATTGTGGGTATCCATAGATCTCTCTGCCTCAGTGTATCTAGTTCTCAAAGTTATAAGAACAATATATATTTTAAACTAGATACACTTTGTATAATATTCTAACGTTGTTAGAATATTATATAAATAAGGGGGATAAAATAGACTAAAAGGCCAGTAGATGTATTGATAAAAAGGAGAAATTAGACTGAGACGATATATTTAGAAGTAAAAATAGATAATAGTATACTTTATGTGAGAAAAAGCATGAGAGTCCTTGGGATTGCATCTGCTAAGCCTGTCCCATTTGTATCAACACTAAAGAAGGCAGGAGGAGCCGGACCCCAGGGGGGGTCAAAGGGAGAGGAGGTGACCCCTGTTCCTGGGGGAGGAGGCGCAGGGGGAGAGGTGCGTAAAAAGCCTGAGGCTCCCACCATCACCAGAAGAGCTAAGAGCACCAACCCAAGCCCTTCTGTCCTCACCTTGTGTGTCTGTTATTCCCCAAATGTCCGTGCTCACTTGCTCTGACGAGCCTCCAGATGCTTGCACTTTGTTGACTCTCCACAGCCCTGCACATCCTGCTTACTGAAGCAGAGACGCAGCAAACCACACACTGGTTTGATTGCAAGTTGTAACCCCTGCTATGCTGCCTTCAAATGTATTTTATTTTGGTAATTAAATACTTAGGTTGGTGCGAACATAAGGGGACTTTGCTTAATTTCCTATGAAAACCTATTCTAGGCTAGCTTTACCTGTCTTTACATAGCCACTGTTACTGCTAGTAGGCCACACTGCTACTGTCACAATCCCACCGTTACCATTACCTGTGTGTCATCAGGCTGTACTTCCTGTGTGTTGTGTAAAACACCTCATGTTGCCAGATTTCATCATATAAGTTTGTATTTCACTTCGCATGATACTTAAAGGTTGCTTTCTGTTTGTTGGTAAAACCAGCCATGACTTTTGCAGTCATGCTGATGTAAAACTCAGCTGCATACATTTTCTTAAGATTACTTCTATCGTTTAAAAAAAAAAAGAATACAAGAGTATTACACCACCTTTCTAAAACCCACTGAGAGAGCATTCAGTACATTGTGTTTACATGCTAGTTTTTCAGTGAATAACTAGCAAGCTTGTGTGTATTTTTCCTCCCCTTCCCAGACGGAGTTGGAGAACATCGAGGCGACACAGGGCATGTCCTCAGAGACAGCGGTCACCTTCCTGTCTCGTCTCATGGCCATGGTGGACGTGCTGGTTTTTGCCAGCTCCCTCAACTTCAGCGAGATTGAAGCAGAGAAGAACATGTCGTCAGGAGGGCTGATGAGGCAATGCCTCCGTCTGGGTGTGTGCTAGTGATGTATTCAGTCTTAACCACTCTGGAGTTCAACTCTCACACAGCTGGACTTGTTGATTATAGCTGCAACATCTGTTGATTATTATGTCAGAAAAATAGCAAAAAATTCCCATCACAATTTTCCAGAGCGTAAACTGACATCTTCAAATTGTCTTTTTTTGTCTTACACCCAAAGATATTCAAATTCCAATTATATGAACCAGAGAAAAGCAGCAGTCCCTCACATTTACAAGCTGGAAACACAGAATTTGTCATTTTTACTCAATAAATGATTGTGTAATTCATTTGTATTGTTCATAATGTGATTATTGGTCTTGTATCGAGTCTAAATACCCTTCAAATAAATCTGTGTCCATAAGTATGTTGCGTGGCAGTGAGGAACTGTCTGGAGTGCAGGCAGAGACAGAGAGATCGGAGCTGCAAGTCCTCCTTAACCAGCAGCAAGTCACAGGACAGCCTCCACAGTGCCTCCACCACCAGCAAGGTACCACAGACACACACACACACACACACACACCAAAATCAAATGCACATTCTGACACAGAAACATACATATGCATTACACACCACTTTTGACACTCTGTCTTCCATATTTAGCAGGATCCAGACAGACTCCTGCAGGATGTAGACATCAATCGTCTTCGAGCTGTGGTTTTCAGAGATGTGGTAAGCATGTGTTTGTGTGTATTTTTGGTGTATACGGTGTGTAGGTGGGTACAAGGACAAAGAGTGTTGTTTTTACTGAGTAAATTTGTGTGTGTGTTATTTTTCACTGTAGGATGACAGTAAGCAGGCTCAGTTTCTGGCGCTGGCAGTGGTCTACTTCATCTCAGTTCTTATGGTATCTAAGTACCGGGACATTTTGGAACCCCAGCGAGAGATCGGTAGGTCTACCAGCCTATCAGGGAGAAGCATCCGCCATGAAATCAACTCCCCAACCAGTACAGGTGATTCTTGTCTTTCTTTTGCTGTAATATCTTCAATATTAGTGTGTAATCTTGGATGAGCCAGTGGTGACTCATTATTGTAGCGTTGATATAGTGAATACATGCCTCAGGCAAACAACAATACCTTTGTCAAGAATATGAGACAATTAGAGGAAGAGAGAGAAGGAGGAAGAAAGAAGGTTATTATTTGACAGAGAAATAAAAGCTTACCAGTGAGAGGAAATGGCTGAGAATGAAATGTTAAAAGCAGACAATATGTTGTGGGATTTCTTGACAATTTTTTGTGTAATTGTATGACGGTTTATCCTCATAAAATCGTATTATATCCTTCATTTCCTCCCCATTCTCCCAGAGCACCCATCCACAGCTTTCTCCGACCGTGACAAACAGACCCCCACCCCAGTGGACGACTCTCCGCGGGCCGGCCTCCCCCACACAGACTCAGGCATCGGAGAGGAGGGCCATGTCGCAGGATCCCTGAATGGCTCGGAGATGGGTTTGGGGCTCGGCCTCGGCCTGGTGGGGAGAGAGACAGACAGAGACAGAGACATGGTAGGAGTGGGAGGGGGAGGGGGAGGAGGCACAGATCTGTTGTGTAGCCTGTCTGATGTTAGGAGGTCACAGGAGAGCCTTCTGGATTCTCCGCACAACCCCTGTTCCAACCCCAACTCCAGTCAAGCCCCGCCTTCGTCCATCTCCAGCATCAGCCAAACAAACAAAGGCATCAATGTTAAGGTGGGTCTGTCTGACCTTCAGACCTGTCTGCCTGTATCCTGAGACATATTTTAATGCCAGGTCTTTCAGCATGGGTTATGTGTCATTAAAACATGCACACTTTTACTTACTCTTATACATCCATAATTGACTAGCGAATGTGTTTTGCAAAGCCTACACTGAAAAATGTACAATATGATGGAACCCAAGGATTAAATTTCTCACAGCCTCGGCCACTTGAGTTCTGATGGGTTGTTGTTCTTTCTGAAATGCAGGAGATCCTGAAGAGCTTGGTGGCGGCTCCAGTTGACGGTGGGGACTTGGGACAGGAGTCTGGACCGACGCCCTATCACCCAGACCCTGCCCTGAAGACACACCCCATGCTGCCAATGCAGTTCCACTCTTTCGACAGGTCAGTCTCAGTTACCCATGGTGTGCAGGAGGCAGAAAAACAAAGACAGAGACATGAAGCCTGACACATTCATCAATTAATCAATTTTTCCAGACAATACTAATCTTTTCTAGATACGTACTAGTATGGGGGCACAAAATCAATCAGTTAATTACCATTTGGAAAATGATTCTCCCCTTTGAACAAATCTCTTTGGATGGTAACATTTAAAAGATTTACAAGCATACATAATGTCCTTGACTTGCCAGCAGTTACATAGATTTTATTTTATTTTTTTTAAATGAAACTCTAATAATGTCCAGATAAGGAATGCATGAAAATGTGAATTCAGCACAATGGCTTGTTAGCAGTTTCTTACGTCTACTGTGCACTGTATATCTTAGAAAAGAATTCAATATAAAAACACAATAACAATGATTTCTTGATACCGTAATAATGAAACATGACTGATTTTTTTAGACAGATATCTCATATGGACAGATATATTGTTGCTGAGTAATAAATCTGTTGAACATGACAAGACATAAACAAAGTCTGTTCAATTTTCCTCTATTTTCCAAACATGTAGACTCTCCACTGAGTAATGACCTGCTTATATCTCCCGTGCATCACTTAGTCTCCTTGATCCTGCCCTGTGGCAGTCCTTGAGAGCTAAGTTATTGATTGAAGATGATATGTATAATAGATAATTGATGGCTCTATATCCATCTCCACCAGATGTATCAAGCCTGTCTGACCCAAGCAGACAGACTTGATTCATCGACTCAATCAGCCCAAATTAATGGCAAATATATAGTTATTAAGAAACAGTAATTTTAAAACAAACATATATTAGTTCTTCCATTACCCATATTTTTCGAAATCCCTAGATTTGTATGTATTGTGGTACATCTTGACAAATGCATATATAGATTATATTAGCAGCACCTTAGTATAATGTTTCTAAAAAACGTTTTATTGGTAACACATGGAAACCTGGGTCGATAAAAACCTGGAACACCAATTATAAACTGATCTATATAGTCTGTAAATATGAATTGTGCATAAACATTAATAGTGTTGTACAAAGTAACAACATTTAATAATTTTCAAAAAGCATTTATAATTTTATACAATAATAACTATATACTTGTTACATTAAAGATACTCCGTGATATTTGTGTGCTTAATTCTCAAAATATCCTTCTTGCTGTCTGATGTTTTAATCTTTGTTGAGTTTTAAAACAGAATCTTGTCATTTGGAGACTCTCCTGGACACTGTGACAAAACCAGGCGGTACATCTTAAAAAGGTTTTTGAAAGAATTGTTCAAAGAGACGACACATATTAGGGGCTGAATTCATTTTGTGAGTTTGAAACCCCTCTCCAGAAGGTTGAACATTGAGTCGCTTTCAGTATTGTTATATTGGCATAAACTAACAGTAAACATGCTTGCTCATCCGATCTTTTCATCTCAGTGGGAACTGAAGTCTGCTCTCAGATGTTCGCACACCGTGAGCACTGACCACAACACAGAGCCGAGATATCACTGGGGGGCATTTGATAAAGAATATTGTGTGTGCAGATTTGTCTGATGCCTTTGTGTCTCATCTCTGACAGGAGCGTTGTGGTTCCAGTCAAAAAGCCGCCACCTGGCAGCCTATCAGTCAACACAGTGGGCACTCCCACCACTAGTGGAGCTGCCACCGCTGGCAGCACACCCAACATTTTTGCTGCTGCAACAGCAACACCCAAAAGCATGATCAACACTACAGGTGAGAGAAAACACACAGATTTAGTGCACTTATGTCTTTGTGGGGCTATTAACTAGATCTATATCTATGAATAATTTGACCTGCATACATTTTTGCTCTGTATCTATTCAGTGTGCATTTAAGGAGAGGCAGCCAACAGATACCTGCAGTATGATGAAGGTGTTTTTTGTGAAAGGCCTCCAGCTATTCAAAGGGTGCTCAATGAAGCAGGGCTGAATTTCTTATCTTCTTACAAAAATCTTTAATGCTTTACTCTGCTGTCCTTTGACAGCCCGAACGAACTAGAATAGAAACAACTGAACTAATAGCACCAGACGATCCTTTCATAATTTGTTTTAGCCTGTTTCAAGGACAAGATCCAGATCAGTGAAGTTGCAGACGGCGCAGAAAGTTTAAGATATCTCAGCCATTAACAAGAAAGTTCATTCAGTAAACTTTCCTGTGCTTTCTCACAGCTCACATTTAAAGCAGGATAAAAAAAAAACAGATAAAGAGGAAAGCATGTATTGGATATTCTTTAACCCAGAAATGGTATTAGATAAAAATACTTTTAGGGTAACAAGATAAGAATCAGCTTACATGCAGATCAGTGCTGTTTCTATGCAGCACCATGCTCAGCAGATCCATTGTAGCAGAGTGGATTTGTATTCAAGGTTCATACATACTGTATCATACATGCATAATGGACGAGGAACGGATTTGTTCCCTGGAATGGATTCTGTATATTGATTGCAAAGCTATTTTCACAAAAGGGGGCCATTACCAGAAGACTAGCAACAGCATGTGCAGTGAAATACTATCCAAATTGAATTTGGCCGCAGCCGATCGGGACATTAATACATTTCCTTTATTGTTATCACGCACACTAATCTCGGTCACGCTTAATTCATGTTACTATAACGCTCATCTAATTTTTTATTACTCTCCCTCCTGTCCTCCTGTCCAGGTGCCACAGATTCTGCCTCCTCCTCCTCCTCCTCCTCTTCGTCATTTGTCAACGGTGCGACTAGTAAGAATCTGCCAGCAGTACAGACGGTGGCACCCATGCCAGAAGACACTATGGAGAACATGAGGTCAGAGCTCTCAACATCACAAAGCTCTTTATGGCTTCAACCATTCACTTTCCTCCCGCTTTTTCTTTTTTTCCCTCCTTTTGGCTTTTGTTTTTATGTTGATTTGTCTGTTTTCTTGGGTGCCTGTCGTTTTCCCACTTCATTCCTGTCCCTCTGTCGCTTCACACTTAGGACTTCATCCTTCCCACAGAACTCTCACTAGCAGTTCACGCTCACAGTCATGATACTGATATTATACAGTACGGTTAGATACGTTTTGTCTGGAATTGGGAACGCCTGGGGCACACCTACATGCTTTTTGAGGCCTAGTTGAAAATACCTGATATTAGTCATTATCATTATTTTTTTAATGTCAGGTGCAATGTAGATGCAAAAAAATTATTAACCATCTTTTAAAACAAAAGACAAAACTTTAATTGCTAATTTGACAGTCGTACTGGGTGACAAATGACAAAAAATCTAAAGTCACTAAAATGCCAGCTCCACATTGACTTATCAGCCATTAAAAAGGATATTGGATATATTCCGATATTGCTCTATACAGCTGATATCAACTAATAATTATAATCTTCTGAAAGCTAGTAAAACTACTTTATCTGTGGTAACTCACACACATGTTATGCTCACATGCACGCATACCCCCCACGCATCTCACTCAGTCTACACTATAGTGCTCCTCATCCCTGACATGGCAACTGTGTTTTAATGTCACAATGACAATATACTGTAAAGTATGACAATATTAACAGTCCTAATTGATTTTAAGAGTACGCATTTGAAAAATGTAAATAAAATTGTCATAAACATAAATCTGTGTTTTAGTTGTGTTTCCATACTTTGTGTAGGCATCTGACACTCACTAATAAAATATAAGGTGATATGAGACTGTTAATAAGTAGGAAACAGCATTACAATAAGAACTAATATATAATACCTTTGAACTTTGTAGCAGTTTGTACTGTAACATTTCTGTCAATGTACTCTCTCCTTAGACATGTTAGACAGTTTGTTATGATATGTATAGTGACATGTGCTCCTAAAAGTGCACACCCATGTGAGTGGGAGTGTGCGTGCGTGTGCATGTGCTCCTTAATCAGTGCGCATGTCTGTATGTGTGTGTGTGTGTTTGTATGCGTGTGTGTGGTTTGTATTGCAGTGCCTATTGTGAGGTGGCGCAGTGTGCGCTGCGCAGCGGTCAGACGCCCCCTGAGCTCAAGTCTTTTAGCTCTCTGGCAGGCTTCCAGGCAGCTCCCCGAGATGCAGGACAGTGTTTTAGGCAAGGAGATACTCGTCCTGTCCCCATGCCCCCCCTCCTCCTCCTCTGCCCCACCTCCACCACACACCCTCTGCTACGCCCAGCCACTACTAAATGTTCCCAGAATGCCATGGGAGAAGGGACAGACATCTTTTGTTTTTAAGCCAGCAGCTCATATTTTTCTATTTACAGTCAATTCTGTCACTTCTAGCATGGCCGTCTTCTCACACTAACCCCGAACTCAAGATCAGACCTGAGTCAAACTGTCTTTGCAAATAACCTGCAGCAGCAGTTTAAACAGCTTAAACCGACTCAAATGCTTCTCTTAACCTCTACTGGGAATTTAGCAAATGTCGCTCATCTGGAACTCTGAGCGGGTTAAAAACTAAAGATTTGTATTTGTAAACACTAGTGACCCAGGTCTGTGTCAGAAATCACATGCTTATAAGGCCAAGAATCTGCACTTCACTGCCATCATGGCTCCATAGTTAAGTCTGCTTTGCTAATTTCTCCATTAACAGAACATAGAATAGTAAAGTAGTAATATTAATAGTAAATTTTACTCTGCACGTGATCTACACCACACACTAAGGCACTAATATAAAGATGTGTAGCATTTACAAGTCAAGATACAACATATACAATATTTCCCAGTCTTAAAATAATGGCAGGGTTTAGCTTTTTATTGCACTTCCAGCTTCACTCATCTAACAATGCAAACTTTATTAGTTTAATGATTAGCCTTAACTGTAGTATCATCAACTTTACCAATACTAACCCAGGCATAGTGCTTCCATACCAAACCACCATTACATACTCTTTCATTCTGTAACTTTTTTGTGTCTTCTGTGTCCATTTCAGACATGTATCTATTTCTTTCTCTTTAACACCTCTCGGCTTGCCTTTTCCCTTCTCCTCCCCTGTGTAATTTATCGTGTGCTTTCCTCTCCTCCCTTTTTCTCACCTATCTCTACTCATATATTGCATGTTTTGCCTGCTCCCTTTCTCACCTACTGTATATCCCCCCCGGGTTTTGCCTCACTTCTACCCTCATCTGCATGTTGCTTATTTTATCTTCACTCCCATTCTCTTCATCTTTCTCTCACTTATTTCCCACCACAGCATCACCACCAAGCTGGAGCGCGCTCTGGAGAAGGTGGCCCCCCTGCTGAGGGAGATTTTTGTGGACTTTGCCCCCTTCTTGTCTAGGACACTGCTGGGTAGCCATGGGCAGGAACTGCTCATAGAAGGTACAGGTGCTGTACACGGCTCCTTTTTCTCTAACTGGCGTCTCTCTGTGGAGTCTCCCCATTCACTGTCCCTCACCGCGATGTTTGTGTGTGAGAACGAGTAAGAGAAAAATAAATGAGTGAGTGAAAAAGTGGTGTGTGATTAGCTGAGAGTGAGTGAGTGAGTGTCTGAGCTGGCTGCCTCACCCATTCGTCAAGCAGGTATGAAGTCAGTATTTTTTACCATTTTGAAGCAGCTAGCTAGAAAATGTCAACATTTTTAAATCAGATTATGTTCAGTTGTACATTAATACCCTGGTATTATACATTGTACTAAATGTGATGCATTCCTCCCTCTGCCCACCTGCTTCCTGGCGTCCTGTTTTTGTGATCCACTGTCTCAATGTTGATCTCTCCCTCTCCTCACTTCCTGCTCCTTCCCCTTTCTCCCCCCTCCTCTCCTCTTCTCCTGCCTCATCTCTCTACTGTTTGTTCCTGTCTTCTCTGTGGCATGCTTTTTTATAAACTTGACTATGACGACTGTATACAATAGCAGGAACTACTGACACTACAGTGTCTTCTTTGATGATATTTTTGTGCCTCGCAGCGATGTGTGTGTGTGTCAGAGAGAGAGAAAGAGAGGCTCCTGACTGTGCTGTATGTCTCTGTACTGCAGGTCTGGTGTGCATGAAGTCTAGCACGTCTGTGGTGGAGCTCGTAATGCTGCTCTGTTCTCAGGTTGGTAACTCCTCACCTCTCTGTCTCTCCGTTTACTCTCCTCTCATATAAGGCCTGTGGTGTCAAAGCTATAAAAAGCGAATTTCTAACTCCTTCTGAAAGTGTTTTTTTTTTTTTGGGACCCGTAATAATTGGTTTAGTCGATTGCACACAGGAAGCTGTCGAGTTATTGATCTTCCCTGTGAGGCAGAGTTGACTATGTAATGAGCGCATTGCGGATGTAATATAATATCAACTTACATGCATCATCACCCCATAGGTTACTTCATAAACTTCAAGGCCACAGAAAAAGAGTCTTCCATATCAGTCACACGCACGTAAACTCTACTGGATTTAACTTTTAAATCACAAAAGGCATCATGGCTTAATTAATGTAGATGATTATAAGGGTCTAACTTGCATTCAATGCCAGTATCTCTATTTTCATTAATAACACTCAAAAGGCAGAGTGGCAAAACAGAGGCACTTACCACTAGATAGCGATCTCCAGATGGCGTAGGTGACCAATGTCTTTTTTCTTGTATATTATGAAGTTTGTCGCCCAGTTATTCTCTTTTTTTTTTTTTTGGATTCCCTTGTCTTCCCTTGCCTGTAAGAGCTCTTGTCCTTGGAGGAGCCCCTCAGTTCATTCCTCTTCTTTTTCTTCAGCTCTACTTCTGTGGTCTCTGCTTTCTTCTCTCCTTTTTTCCTGCTCCATTTTCAACAGACACCACCGCTTTTCTGGTCCATTTTAACTTCAGTGATCCAGTGGCAACTGCTTTCATCTTCTACCACTCTCCACACTGCCCTTTCCTCTCACCACTCCCTCTCCTTTCCCTCTGGCTGGATGCTCGTCAGCATGTATAGTATTACCCCTGGCTCCGGCCTTGTCTGCCATTAGAGGCCCGGGAGAGCAAACCCTAGCTCAGATATCGATCCTCTAGATGAGGGGGGGTTGTAACAGGAGATGCTCCCACGTGTCCTTAACAGCCTTAAGAGCTAATGGAGCTCTGATAGTTTGAGGCTTTCAGCAACACTCCAATCCTGCTCAGAAGTCTCCACTCTCGTATGCACAAACACATAAAACACTCGCATCCTCTTAGGCGGGCGCATTTTCATTAGGAAGCTCTTAAGATGTGTCTCCATCCCTGTTTTGAGCACTGGCAAAGTTGTAAATGTTAATGTTTTTTTCCAAAGTTCCAACCAGGTTTAGATGATAACAATATACGGTATACACTGAAACCATAGAAATGTATGATGGATATTACAACACACAATATACTAGGCTATTGTGGACAATGTTGCAACTTGATAAGCAGGACTGCTTTATGGAATTTACAGCATTTTTGTGAGTAAGAAAAAAAAATCAAATGTGGTTATTTTATCTATAAATCTATAAAGTAAATTTGAAAAAAATGTACTATATCGGTATGAAATGGCATACACAGTGAGGGTTCAATCCATATCAAACACTCCCAACCATGTTAATTTTGATGTATCCTCTACCCTTAGGAGTGGCAAAACTCCATTCAGAAGAACGCCGGACTGGCCTTCATTGAGCTCATCAATGAGGGAAGGTAATCCATCACACAGACTGATTATCACCCCACATAATTCCCTGTGATTCACACATTAACACCAACTCTGTTATCAGTGTTTAACAACTAATGGCTATGATAGAGCCCTAATGAGAACCTTGCCAGGATAAGTATATGGTGCCATGTGTGTTCAGTAGGAAGTCGGATCATTAAAGTGCAATTAAGTTTACAGTTAATTTGGGCTGGCCTATTTTCAGTGCCTGTAATCTTTTTTTTTTTTTTAGTCCAAGCTGTTTATTGGAGTATTGTTACAAAACTTACAATACAAAAAGAAGAGAATGTCATGCAGTGCTACTTTTTAAGCACACTGTTTACCCATGCATACATAAGCTGCAGCAGCAAAGACCAGTCTTATTGATATCATTTAGAAAAGGTTGCCATTTTAAGAATAACTTGCTTACATTCCCTCTAATGAAGGATTTGTTTTTTTTAGAAATGTAGAATTGCTAATGCCTTTAATGTCTGACGCTCTCTTTCACTTCCCCATGTTTCTCACTTCTCCACCAGACTTCTGTGCCATGCCATGAAGGATCATATTGTGCGTGTTGCTAATGAAGCAGAGTTCATCCTGAACAGACAGAGGGCGGAGGATGTTCACAAACATGCTGAATTTGAGGTAAACACACAGAGCACCACTGGGCTAATATGTAACGTCACCAACAAATACCTGGATTTTTTAAATATTTGGAATTAATACCTTTTTTTATTCTATGTTCTCATACACGAATAAGTGTTTCAGGAGGACTCTGTTCATCTTATGCTTTGGGAAAACACAAATCACCTGCTGAGTACCTCTAACTAATAAACACAACAAATAATCCTCCCAAATATATACATAAATATAATTATATAATAATATAGTATTTTTGTACATAGTGTCTATAGTATATTATATTATATTATTGCCCTACTTTTATTGTTTTTATACTGTTTTTTCTCTATCCACTTTGCTGCTGTAACATTGGAATTTCCCCATTGTGGGACAAATAAAGGAAATATCTTATAATATTTTAAGTATAGTAATACTATTAAGACCCTTTAAATGCCCTTTAAAAATTAAAACTATAAATTATGACCTTAGAGTAGTGAAAGTGATAAGAGGATTCTTGAGGCTAATACTGATATTATTATATGATATAACATTTGAGAGTTCATTTGATAACAATAATTAATTCCGCCAATATTCATTTATATAAATACATAACATAAACTAACATTTTTAAATCCCTTAAATTTGTTTCCTAAAGATATTTACTGAGATTTTCCGATTAAGATGTATTATTATAGATTGTTGCACATCCTTTTGGGCGCCCGGTTAGCTCAGTGGGTAGAGCTGGGGACCCATGTACTGAGGCTGAGTCCTTGCAGTCGAATCCAACCTGCGGCCCTTTGCTGCGTGTCATCCCCTCTCTGCCCCCCTACTGTCTGTCTTCAGCTGTCACTATAATAAAAGCAATAAAAGCCCCAAAAAATACGTAGAGATTTATTATTATAGATTAAGGTAAAATAATACTCAGAAGCTACAACAGCGGTATATAAAGTATTCAAAATTAGCACATTTATTAGCTGCAACATTAAAGTGATGAACACATTAATGCATCATTAATTAGCTCAATATAAAAAAACATTATTATGAAATGGGCCATCTGTATAATGAGTACTACTTTTGGTACTTGAAGTAAATTTTGATGCTTCTTTACATTTTTGAATGCAGGACTTTTACTTGTAACAGAGTATTTCTACATTGTGGTATTGCCACTTTTACTTTAGTTAAAGATAATAGTACTTTCAGCACTGGCCAATACTAATATATCGATAAGTTAATCAGCTGATGCATTGTCTTGGCTGATTTATTGGTCTAGATCTAGTCAGCAGGCTAGTTATTGCTGTGTGACTGCAGAAGCAGACAACAATCTTCTGTACCTAGTTGCTATATTGGATCGTCCTCTTCTAAAATATTTTATGGCTTTACATGGTTTTGCATCTGAAGGGCTTACTATTTTTACCAACAACCAAACAAACAAACAAACAAACAAACAAACAAACATACTGTACAACTGTCTCCTTGTCACCACATTAACAAAAACCCTCTTTAGTTTCTCCCTGTTTCGGTTGACTGTTCTCTTTTAACCTCCTGCTCTCCTGCAGTCTAACTGTGCCCAGTATGCTGCGGACCGGAGAGAGGAGGAGAAAATGTGTGACCACCTCATCAGTGCCGCTAAACACAGAGATCATGTGACCGCTAACCAGCTGAAACAGAAGATCCTCAACATCCTGACCAATAAGCATGGAGCATGGGGGACAATGTCACAGAGGTGAGTGGAAGATGCAGCGCAACTGCGTGTCAAATTGTACTCTGGGACATTTTTAGATTACCGTTGCATAAGATGTCAGTTGGCAGGAGACATTACACTGGTTGCGTGCTAACATGAAGCGCTTCTTGCATATAATGAGAAAAAAGGTATCAGCACCAGCCACTAGTCCATATCCATATAACACATTTCCACTGTATTTTATTGCTTTTATTTGTGTGGAAGTAGTACTGAACATCCATTACGGCAGTACATTATCATCAGCCTCACATCACAGACCCATAAAACCTTCAACAACATTAAATTTGTCAGATTGTGGATATAATCATCGCTGAAATACATTTAACAATAAATCAATAAACCAAAAACCAAGAAAAAAATAATATGGTCTGTGAAAAGCAAGATTCATAAATCAAGTGTCAATTAGCGGTAAATTATTGTACATCATCTACAGGATACAGAGACAACTGAATCCTGACATCATGTGAGACAGATTTCCTTATTTAGCACACTTACGTAAACACATCATCAATTATTGCCTGTTATCCAGATCTGCCTCCAGGCTGGCAGTTACTCTGAGGACATATGATTTAATTTGAGGACGTGTGACACACAACATCTGAAGCCTGTCTTCCTCATGTCACTGTTGATGATACCACAACATGCATGCAGTTAATAAACACCTTTGGCCCTCAGATGAAAAACGAATTAAAGTTAAATTGCATCTGACGTTTGTTCACATCAGCATAATGCATATTGAAAATTTTCCACGGTTGAATGCCTTACTTTTCATCTGTTTTCTTCAGAAACCCCTTGGCTCTAGAGGGTATATAAAGTAAATGAAATGTTTTTTCTCACAACTTAAAGCCAGTTATTGTTGTTTGAGTTGGAAAGGTTTGTCAGACTCACTCCTTTGGTGAAATACTGCCTTTTATCCCAATAAAGAGGAACCTTTTGATTGTAGGAAATTAGTTTTGTAAGTTCCTAGCGTAAATGTCACCTGTAACTTCAGCTTCAACTCCAACTTAAACTTGATTGCCCCTGAAGGAATAGTCCGAAAATTGCCACCTTACTTGCCTCCCACCACTGAGATAACTAATCTTTGCTCCTGCCCTTTTATGTCTTCAGTCAATTACACGACTTCTGGCGCCTAGACTACTGGGAGGACGACCTGAGGAGGAGACGGAGATTTGTGCGAAATGCCTTTGGATCCACTCACGCGGATGTGTCACTCAAAGCTCTCGAGGATTACGGTCAGTGATGTGTTCTAATGTTAACATGTTGTACTTCAACATGTGCCTGCTTTTTGCCTTTTTGCATACACACAACCCTCACACGCATATTTAAAAACACACTCAAACAGGTACGGAAGAGGAGGAGGAGGGGCTTAAGTCGAAGAAGAATTTCCGCAGCCAATCGGTGGTCGCCCAGAACCCAGAGGCGGAGTTAATGCTGGAGGGAGACGATGATGCTGTCAGCCTGCTGCAGGAAAAAGAGATTGATAACCTTGCTGGTAAGTTGCACACATATAGACACACACACAGACACTATGTTTCAGTACAACTGAACAGTAAACTGTCTATGACTCTTGTTTTTAGTACTTTTCCGTCCAAGACTTTTTACATCCAAAGGCAAGTTGGATATTTGAAAGTATTGCAGCTACACTAATCATCCAGCTGATTGAGCTGATGCAGGAAGATTAAATCATAATCAACTAAAAACTGATGCAAATCATACCTCATTTAATTCATTGTTCCTCTTTGACTTACTCATGATATAAATGATCAATTTGAACTAACATGAAATGACTCTATTACAGGATATGTGCCATTTAATTATATGTTGTTGCTTATTACTGTTTTGTATTATGAGCCTCAGTCAATGGAATGAACGCCTCAAGTTGTAATATCTGAGTAAAACATTTTCCCCCCAGGCCCCGTGGTTCTGAGTACTCCAGCTCAGTTGGTAGCTCCAGTGGTGGTGGCTCGAGGCACTCTGTCCATCACGACTACTGAGATCTACTTTGAAGTGGATGAAGAGGATCCTACATTCAAGAATACCGACGCTAAAGTAAGGGCAAGTTGTCTTTCTTTATTATTGTTTAGTGCAGGGAAAACAAGATTTAGAACTTACTGCTATTCACTCAATGATCAAAATAGTTGGGATTCTTCTGTATACTGTATGTAGGTCTTTCTTTATGTTTAAATGTTTTTTTCTCAACAGGTACTGGCCTACTCAGAGGGTCTGCACGGAAAATGGATGTTCAGTGAGATCCGAGCTGTGTTCTCCCGGCGCTACCTGCTGCAGAACACCGGACTAGAGGTTTTCATGGCCAACAGAAGTAAGTCTGCACATTACTTATTACTCGCATTTATTTGTTTCTCAACACTGTATGCATCTGCTACCCAAACTTACAAAATCCCAGGCACTGATTGTATGCATATCTTGTCTCTTCCTCTGTGCAGCGTCTGTGATGTTTAACTTCCCTGACCAGGCCACAGTCAAAAGGGTGGTCTACAGTCTCCCACGGGTGGGGGTAGGAACGAGTTACGGCCTGCCACAGGCCAGGTAGGTGCAGGGTTTAGTCAGTTGATCCACCACTGTTTTGCATTTGAAAGGCATTTTTTCTTGGTGTGATACAAATAAAATCCACTTCAATGTGTGTGTTTGTCTGTCCTAGGCGGATTTCCTTGGCCACCCCTCGTCAGCTCTTTAAGTCGTCCAACATGACGCAACGCTGGCAGAGGAGAGAGATCTCCAACTTTGAGTACCTCATGTTCCTCAACACTATTGCAGGTAAAGTCCACTTCCATTAAAATCTTCATATGGTCGTTGTTATCTTTGCCTGAAAAGCCTGAGAATTGGTAGCAACAGTGCTATAAATCCCTTTTTTGGATAATCATATTTTAGCATGTGTTAATATTATAACAATAATATGAAACTCAAAGTGATGTAGTAATACAATGTTATGTCAAGTAAACATGCTGTGTATTCATATTGTATCTGCTATGATAACAAGACAGAAACAGACACCAAGGTTTGTCACCATCTCGTGACAACTAATAATGTTGTATCTATACATCCTTTTTTACTTTTTCCTCTCCCATCCGTCTTTTGTCCCTGCAGGGAGGACCTATAATGATTTGAACCAGTACCCTATCTTCCCCTGGGTCTTGACCAACTATGACTCAGAGGAGCTCGATCTCACACTACCTGGAAACTTCAGAGACCTCTCAAAGGTTAGACACACCACTTGATGCACTTTCTCCAGTTAATTGCTTGCTTAGTCAAACAGTGCTACTCATATACTGTACCAAGACTTAGCAGGAATCTCTCCTTGTTGCAATTTGTACCAGTTAGCACAAAACAAAGCCACATAATATCTCTGTGGATGCAATTCCCTGCATTCCCTCCTCCTCAAGGGGATCAGAACAGACATGTTTATTAGTTTTACTGTCCAAGCATTGACCGTTTTAAAGAATAATGATGTGCTCTCTGACAGAAAAAGAAGACTGCATGTAATCGTAGACTTAAGACGATTATTTCTCTCTGGTTTCTTCCAGCCAATCGGTGCGCTAAATCCCAAGCGGGCGGCGTTTTACGCAGAACGCTATGAGACGTGGGAAGACGACGGCACGTCTCCTCACCACTACACAACCCTATACTCCACTGCTCATTCAACACTGATGTGGATGCTCAGAATAGTAAGTACCTGCTTCACACACTTAACAGAGTTTAACCTTCAGCAGCCATTTACAGGCCAAAGACTCGAGGCTTGTTTTTAAATGGATTTGTCTCTTCTTGTGACCGTAGGAGCCCTTCACCACATTTTTCCTCAACGCCAATGACAGCAAGTTTGACCATCCAGAGAGATCCTTTTCCGGCATTGGCTGCTCGTGGAGGAACTGCCAGAGGGACACGGCTGATGTAAAGGTAACTACTCTGGATAGGCTGAAGGAACGTCTTTAGTCTTTAGAAGTGATTAGTTAAGAAGACTGTAAAACCATAAAAACCAGCCTGAAAACACAATAACACAAAGCACTGAAAGTAGTGTGTTTTTCAACTAAATAGGTTTAAAATGTTGAGTTATAGTTTGAAAACATAATGATGCTCATCGTTTTAGTTTTAATTTGAAGATAAGCTGTACTTGAAGACACACATTGTCTAAAACCCCGGAAGTATTAAGAATAGCTGAAAGTTTTGTAAGTTCTTGAGGGAATTATTAAAATATTGGTGAAGCGTCTGTGTCAGCTTTGAAGTTGTTTAACTTGAATTCAGTTCTGTTCAAAAAAACAACGTATTCCTGTCATGTCCATTAGGAGCTCATCCCAGAGTTCTACTACTTGCCTGAGATGTTTGTCAACAGTAACGAGTATGAGCTCGGTGTGCGTGATGATGGAGTTCCCGTGTGTGACGTGGAGCTTCCTGCCTGGGCCAAGAAACCCGAAGACTTTGTCCGCATTAACCGGATGGTGAGAGACAGACAATCTTTTCCTAAATATAAAAAAAAAACTGAACAAATCCTTGACTCTCTCTCTTTCTCTCTCTCTCTCTCTCTCTCTGCACCGGTTACTCTGACCAGGCGTTGGAGAGCGAGTTCGTGTCATGCCAGCTTCACCAGTGGATTGATCTAATATTTGGCTACAAGCAGCGAGGGCCAGAAGCGGTCCGAGCTCTCAACGTGTTCGACTTCTTGTCCTACGAGGGAGCAGTCAACCTAGATAATCTAGATGCTGCGCAACGTGAGGTCGGTTTCTATGCCAACAACTCACTCTTGTTTGACTCATAAATTGATTATTGCAGTTTAGAAACTCTTCCCCAATAGTGAGTGCTTTCTTATCTAAACTTGTTTCTCTAAAGTGTGTAACCGTCCTCCTCCTCTCCGATGTCAACGCCGTCTCTGTCTCTCTTCCTGCAGGTCATTGAGACCCAGATTCAGGCGTGTGGTCAGGTCCCCTCCCAGCTGCTGATTGAGCCACACCCACCTCGCTCCTCCGCCATGCATCTGGTGAGAATACCTCGAAAGCCTGAGCAAATCTTATTTTTGTTTCAAGTTTCATAGCAGTGTTATCTGTTCATGCTTACATAAAACTCTTGAGACCTCAACTGCAGGCTGACTGAAATACAAAACAGAAATGTACTACATGTTCCTCAAGTTAATGATAGTTTACTGGGAGGTTGTTATTGAAAACAAATTTCGTTTTGGAAGATTTCCCAAAGCTGAAGGGTACTGAACTTTCACCTTATTTTGAAGACACACGTTAGCCCTATACACTAATTCATTTTATTCCACTTACTGTATATGAATCACTTCATTACCACGGTGTATAGATTTGTATAGATTTTTACTTAAAAATACATTTAAAGATGTTTTTACAAAGCCAGTTCTGCCCTGGTTTTAGCCTCTCTGTCCTCCCTGCTACCTTCAGCAGCACGAGGCCTCAGTGTCTCCACATCAGAGCCATCCATTTCAACCCAAACCTGTCAGTCCTGAACCCCGACCAGCCAGTGCCTCCACCTCCTCTCCTTGGCCTAGAGCCACCCTCAGTGTGTGTACCTGCTCTGACCCTGTGCTCCCACTAATATACCTTTTCCCTTCCCTCCCTCTGTCCCATCTGTTCTGTCTCTCCCTCTACCTCCGTCTCCATTTCCCGACCCCATCCCCCCCCCTCCCCTGACCTCCCTCCTCGCTCTGCCCTT